AAGCTAAGTCCCGTAATACTCAATTATAAACAAGTTGTAGGTGTTGCATTTGCAACATGGGGTTCGCAAATGCAAACCCTCGCAAAAGCATAGAAGCCTTCACAAAAGCGAATGAACAACTCTGAACCCATCGTAAAAGAGACAAAAATGTTGCAAATGCGAACACTGGCTTTTCACAAAAGCGGCCAGTTGGTCGCAAAAGCGACCTTCCCCCCAACCCAGGCCTCTATCGCATTTGCGAGGTTGGCTATGCAATTACGAAGGCTGCTAGACCACTACTTCTTCGCAAATGCAGCCTTCATCTCGCAAAAGCGAACCTCCATAATACGTAGATGCGATATACTCCTCGCAAATACGAGGTCCCTTCCTCAACAACCCACAATCGCAACAACGAGTATGATCTCACTAAAGTAATGGTCGCAAATGCGAGACCTGAACAATAGCAAAAATCTAAACCTCTCTCAAACACTCTGAAACGCGTCCGAAACTCACTTGAGCCCTCGGGGCTCCATATCAAACATCTACTGTCACGACCTGGAATTCCCAACCTCGGGACTGTGACGGCGTCTAACATCTACTTGCCAGGCAAGTCGACGTTATTAAATTAATTAGCCAATTTTTAACAATTAACACAAAGTAATGATTTTCAAGGATAAATAAAATCAGAATTTAACACAGTGTTAATAGAAATAACGCGATACTAACTATTCCCAGAAATCTGAAGTCACAAGTACATAAGCAACTAGAATACTACATATATGGTCTGAAGCAAAGTACAATTGCTTGAAACTAGATAAACAGTATAATAGATAAAGAAGGAGACTTCAGGGCTACGGACGTCGTGCATCTATACCTCAAATCTTCGATATAGCTGAATCTGAGCAGAGCACCTCTAAACGACGCAGGGATCAATACCGACCTAATGCACTCCGTAAGTGTCGAGCCTAACCTCGATGAGGTAGTGACAAGGCTAGGACAAGACACCTACGTAAAATTCTGTACAGATATATATATACACACACACACACACATATAATGCAATAGAATAACAAGTAGGACAATTTAAATATTAACTGGGAGGGGGCATGTAGAAAGGGGAGTACAATACATACGACAAGTACAAAACCATCAAATAATCTTCCTCTAATGAACAATAATAATTAAACCAATTAAATCATCAACCAGACACCAAGTAAAGCAATAAAATCAACAATGGCACCGCATCACCCTTCATGCTTTTACTCCCATCCTCACCATGTAATATCATAAATAAAATGGCATGACATCAGCCTTCGTGCTTTAATCTTCACAATCCTCTCAAATAGATGATAATGTATGCAAATAAGGCACGACAACACCTTTCGTGCTTTTCACTCTTCCTCACCAAGCAACAATACAAATCCGAATTAACAATGCAAGGCGGGAAGCAATTTCACTTCAATTATAGTACCATGATATCAAACTCAAATTTCAAAATTCCCAACATCTTTAAAATAAACAATAAATACGAGGCGGATAATTAAAGAAGTAATAATCTAACCTAAGCATTGAAAACATAGCCAATGAAACAACTTAGAACAAAGAAACAATTTCCACCTGTATGCTTTAACCCAATGACAATGTATATATACTCGTCACCTCACATATACACCATCCCCACACTTAAATCACATAGCAAATAAACCAACAAGTCCTAATCCTTCAAGTCAAGGTTAACCACGACACTTACCTCACTCTGCAACCAAATCAATGCTCAACCGCGGCTTTTCCTTTAGAATTAGCCTCCAAACCAATAAAATCTAGCCAAATATAGTTCAAATAATTCTAAATAAGTTTTAGAAACTACCCACGAGTGAAAAAAATTTAATCTTTGATGATATTGGAAAAGGTCAACAAAAGTCAACCCCCGGACCGCTTGGTCAAAACCCCAGATTCAGACCAAAACTAAATTATCCATTCACCCCCGAGCCTAGTTATATGTTTTATTTTGAAATCCGACCTCAATTCGAAGTCTAAATCTCAATTTCTCAAAATCCCCAATTTCTACCTAAATCCCTAATTTCTACCATAAAAAATCCTAGAAGGGTAAAATCAATGGGTGTTTATGGAAATGTAATAAAACAAGTTAAAATTTACTAACCAATGAAGTTGGTTTGAAAAATCTCTTCAAAATCGCCTTTAGGCCGAGCTCAAACTTGAAAATGGTGAAAAATGGCTCAAATCTCCTCTTTGAAATGTTGTAATACCGGGGCGTGAGGTGTTCTTCGCGTTCGCGAAGCACCTGACGTGTTTGCGAAGAACTCCGGCCAAAATGGCATATGCATTCGAGATGAACTCTTCGCGTTCGCGAAGGCTTGACCCCCTGACCTTCGCGTTCGCGAGCCACAGCCTGCATTCGCGTAGAGTAATAGCCCAGCCTCCCCCAGGTCCCCACAAAGCTTCGCATTCGCGAAGGGTAAGCCCCCCTCCACTTCGCATTCGTGACCAGTTCCTTGCGTTCGCGAAGAGTAATACGCCCTAGTCCCAAATTCCCCTTCGTGATTGCGAGAGTAGCTTCGCGATCGCGAAGCACAAAGCACCAGAATCAGTAACAGCTGAAAAAACCAGCAATTCCTAAGTCCGAAATGGTCCATAGCCTATCCAAAACTCAACCGAGCTCCTCAGTATCATAACTAAACATACACAGAAATATAATAACATCATTCAAACTCGCTTGCATGATCAAAACACAAAAATAATACCTAGAACCACGAATCGGACATCAAAATGCATGAAATTTTAATGAAAACTCAAGAACTTCTAAATTCACAATCGAGCGCCCGAATTATATCAAATCAACTCCGATTTACACCAAATTTTGCAAAAAAGTTTCAAATAGGAAAACAGACCTATACCAAGTCTCAAAACAAAAATCTGAACCCGATAACCATAAAGTCAACCTACGGTCAAACATAGGAAATTTTCAAACCTTCAAATTACAAACTTTCGGCAAAATAAGTCAAATCAACTTTGGGACTTCCGAATTTAATTTCGGGCATACGCCCAAGTCCAATCACGATATAGGTCCACCGGGATCGTCAAAATACCAATCCGGGATCTTTTATACAAAATATTGACCGTAGTCAACTCAAGTTATTTTTAAAGCCAAAAATCATATTTTCTACAAATATTTACCTGAAAACTTTTCGAAAAAAGATTCGGACTGTGCGCACTAATCGAGAAACATCAAATGGAACTAAAAGAGGTCTCGTAACAAGAAAATAAAGGCTAGTACTCAAAATAACCTATCGGGTCGCCACATCTACACAAGTTTAAAATCATCATGCGAACTCGCTCGTACGATCAAAACCTAAGGATAACATCTGGAACCACGAATAAGACACCAAAACACATGAAATTTACAATGAATCTCAATAACTTCTAAAAAACAACCACGCATCTGATTCCTATCAAACCAACTCGGAATGACACCAAATTTTGCCGACACGTTCCAAATAACAAAACGGACCTATTCTAAGTCTCAAAACCAAAATCCGAACCTGATAGCTGTAAAGTCAACCTACGGTCAAACCTAAGGTATTTCTAAACCTTCAAATCACCAACCTTTGGCAAAACAAGCCAAATCAACCTAGGGAATTCCGAATTCAGTTTCGGGCATACGCTCAAGTCCAAAATCACATTACGAATCTATTGGAGCCATCAAAGTACCGTTCCGAGTTCAAATACGTAATAGTAAAACTTGGTCAACTCTTCCAACTTAAAGCTTCTAAAATGAGAATCATTCTTCCAAATCAATCTCGAATCACTCAAAAATCGAAACCGATAATGCACGCAAGTCATAATACATAATATGAAGCCACTCAAGACCTTAAACCACCGAACATAACGCTAAAGATTAAAACGACCGGTCGGGTCGTTACACATGTCTGATGGTATAATTAGGAATAATCTTTAGATTTGGTATTCTTATGCGAATCCAATAATATTTTTCTCTTTCCATGATGAATTGTTATGTTTTGTTTCCTCCCCTTTTCAAGTTTATTCTATTGTTTAGCAAATATAATATATTTCCATAATTTATAAAGAATTTGTTTGGTATAATTGGTAATTTAAACTAAAAGTTTATCAGTCAATCCACGGTAGAGTTGATCCTATATAGATATGACTCGAAGATATTGAGATGTTGATCCATTACCACTACAACAAAAAGGGGCTTTAGAGGCAATACAAAATGGCTTTAGTGGCAATAATAATAGCCGCTATATCATTTATCGGCCATTGGTGTTTAGCCGCTGAAGTCGGGGTCGGCAAAGCCTTTAGCGACTTTTCTAGCAAAAGCTGGTAAAAGGTATGGTTTATTGCCGCAAAAATTAATATCATTAATGGCAATTATTTGCGGTAATTATAATGGCTGCTAAATCTAATCCAAAACGGCTAATTATACTTCTTTAGCATCCAATTATATACCCGCTAAATTCAAAATAATTGCCGCTAAAAGTTTGCATCTTTAATGGCAGTTGTTTGCGACAATTATAATGGTTGCTAAATTCAATCCAAAACGATTAATCATACTCCTTTAGCATACATTTATATAGCTGCTAAATTCAAAATAATTGTCGCTAAAAGTTTGCATCTTTAACGTCAATTATTTTGTGACAATTAAAATGGCTATAGTATCCCTTCTAAAAACATCTTAGTTTGCCCTTTTAGCATCCATTTTAATTGCTATTATGTTTAACTGAATAACCACTAAAAGTCAATATTTTTAATGACAATTGTTTTCCAACAATTATAATGGCTGCAATATCCCTTGTGAAAATATCTTAATTTGCCCTTTATTCGTCCAATTTTATAGCTGGTATATCCAGCTAAATTAGCACAAGTAACAAGAGGTAATAGCAATAATTTAGCCACCATTAATAATAGTTACTACATTCATCCAGAATATGATCCAAATAATAAAATATTTAATATTAATTCAAAAAATATAATATATCTCATTAAATCTTAACAAAAGGAAGTACTAATAAAAGATATTAATGTCACAGTAACTTAAAAAATAAACTTATATTGTTTGAACTAAATAACTAATATCATTATATAACTAATCCAAACGAATGATGGTCTTCAAATGATTTCCACAACTTTTCGTCATTTTGAAATCTTTCACCCGCTAAATTATCGAACATTAGACTGTGTGACCTGAAATTACAAAATAATTATGTCAAAAGATGAAATATACGCCCAATAAAAAGAAATTACCGAGACAGAAGTCAACAAAGGCTAGTATTTGCTTGATTCCACACTGAAAGAGCTAACATCTCAGTTGTACAAGCTAATACATATACATGGGAAAATGTTTAGTGACACTCACAAGGCAACAACCAGATTTAATGAAGACATAAACTGATGATGTCTTTGTGAGAGGAGTGTGATGAATTAGGAATGATTCAAAATAAACTTCAAACAAGTCATGAGATAAAGTGATGATATTTTGTGAGCCAGGAGTTTGACGAATTTGGAATGATTTAAGAACATTAAACTTGAAACAGGTCATCATAGTATATGAACATACTGTTTTAGATAGTAAATAGAAATGTTTAGCAATTTAAATTCCAGAAGGTCTATTGTACACTCTAGAGAAGACAAACATGGAAAACTCTCCTTCACTCTTATGTTCCAGTTGTATAGTACAAATATTTATTCCAATAAAAGATACCCTCTGCCCGCCTTCATTCTTATGCATTAGTTCCTCACTTCATTCTTTGCATAACCATGGCAGAAAAATATAGCATAGGTTTGTTAAGTGTCATGGATCGTCTTTGGTTTCACCAAATTAGTCTCATTTTTGAACCCCCTTCAGTTTTATTTCCTATAAACCAATGTCAAACAACTTTAATTCCACACGAAGAATTCTCATCAGTTGATTTAAAAAGCACTCTTCTACAGGTAACAAATCCTCTCTTAGTTAGGTTGGTATTCTCTATATTCCCTAACCTTTTAGTGTTTGCTTGTGCTTTGTTTGGTTCACGAACAACAGATAGAAGCAGCACTCAACTAAGAAAATAGTCCCTAGAAAGTCATGATTGTCATCAACAAGAAGATGTGTGCGTTGTGCAACATAAGCTTCTGGTTTACAATCCATCTTTTAGTCCACCTAAATCGACAATTCAAATAGAATTACTTTACACTTAAATTAACAGGATTTTCTTTATGTATAGTCTGCTATGAATAGCCTATAACAATCGAAAGTGAACATATAACATTAGGGAAAACATAGGAATCAATTCAATAAATTGCCCGCCAATTTAACAGCATTCAAATATCACAAATCACAACATAGCAAACACACAAAAACAATTATCTCTACAAATCACAAACTGTCATAGTTGGACATCACAAATCACAAATCGGCTTAGGATCAAGTGTTTGGGTACCTGGTAAGAAGAATACTTTGACGATGAAGATAAGAAGGTGAAGGAGAATGATGCCAGTAACAATCTCGAAACCTACATAAAAAGAGAAGACTGAGAGTTAAGCGATGCCTTAATAACTTTGTTAAGCAACAGTAAAGAAAATTAGACATTTGACTGGTTTCCTCCTTGTATGCTTAAATCTTTAGCTTATCAAAAAAATGATATCATGAGAAGAAAGTCAGACACATATTTGTAATAGAAGATATACTCTCCAGAAACCCGAAATTGAAAAAAGTTGTAGATATGCTCAAACTGATCATCTACGAGCCTTTCCTTCAAACAATAAAGCTAAAACCAACATATTATTTTAGTAGAGTGCAACATTTTTCTATTCGAAGATTGCTAAATTTAAAGGTAGGATCACAGAAATATAAGAAAATCTCTTATAAAATGATTTATCAATATATATCTCAGAGAGGTTTCTAAACTGTAATTAAATGAATCTAAAAGTTCAAGCAATTGTAAATTGCAATCTCTGTTTTTCAGCACAAAAATGCTAAAAGCTAGATAAGAAGCACATCAGATATGCTAAAGTGTAGTTTAAACTTTAAAGTGAATAAAAAGTTGAAAACTTCGCACATCAAATAGACGACAGGGACTATCAAGAATGGAAATTTTTTCCTAATACATCTCCCTAAATTAAATGATTAGTATTAGTGAAGAATAAAGCAACAAATTGCACAAAATGCATAGAATGATAGAAAAACACTTTATTACTATATTTTTGATACATCATGTAAAAAACATAGGACAACGACTGAAACTATAAAATTTCATATGCCACATATAATGGCCAGTAAAGCTTAAGGACGATAAGGTATTCTCGTTACTTAATTCCATACAATCAAAAACAATTAACAAGAATTCTTAAAATCTGTTTTTTGAGCAGCAACGACCCAAAAAAATAGTATTGCAACGGCTGGGAATAAGACTTAGCAGCGATAGAAATGGTGCCGGTGATTATACTTCGATAATCGAAACCCTAGATCCAACAAACAGTAATTTTTCATCAACCCCTAACCCACCCAATCGAATCCTAGAGATAGAGACAGAAACTTATCGGCGATTATATAGGGAGATGGAGATGGTTGGTGCCGTTTTCAAGCGTATATTGTTTTGGCAATTTAGCGTATTTTGTTCAAAAGTTGAGCGGCTTTACAAGGTTTATGCGGAAGAGGTTTTAGAGGGAAAATAAAACTGGAGGGAATACCAAAAAGAAAAATAATATTTTTACCGTCTATTCTCTTATATGGCCATTAAAAATATACTAATTACCGATAAATATTTATTGGCCGGTAATATTCGGTTTCGTGAATAAATTAGCGNGTCTAGTTTATACAGTAAGTCACAACAATATTTCCAATCAATTGACACCTCTAAGAGTACTGTCACGACCCAAAATCCCAATCACGGGGCCGTGATGGCGCCTAACATCCGCTTGCTAGGAAAGCCAACATTAGCTAAAGAATTAACCAGTTTAACAATTTAAAAGCAAAACATTAATAATTAAAGATTGAAATACTATGAAATACATAAGTAACGCTACCTATGCTAATCTCAGAAACTAGTGTCACAAGTGCATGAGCTACTAAAAGTACTATAAATAGGGTCTGAAATAATTATACAACTGTCTGAAATGAAAATATACAGTATAGTAGATAAGAAGGGAACTTCAGAGTCTGCGAACTTTGTGCAGCTCTACCTCAAGTCTCCTGATAAAATGGGTCTGGGAAAATCTCCTCTAAGCGCCGCTGGACCAACGCCAATATCTGCACAAGAAGTGCAAAAGTGTAGTATGAGTACAACCGACCCCATGTACTCCTTAAGTACCGAGCCTAACCTCGACTAAGTACTGACGAGGCTATGATGAGGCACTAACTAAAAATTTGTACTAGTATAAGTAGAAAATAATAATGGAATCAAGAGACAACAAAATAAGCTCAGTGTCACAACGCAATACGGTCACAAAATCAATAACCAAGAATAACCGCAATACAACTTCTTCGTTGCGGCGCACCACCCGATCCACACACAATAACAATACCGTTTTGGTGTGCAACCTGATCCCATATATAACATCAATACCATTGCGGCATGCAACCCGATCCCATATATAACATCAATACCGTTGCGGTGTGCAGCCCAATCTCATATACACCATCAATACTTGTGACGACCCAATAGGTTGTTTTGAGTTCTAGCTTCTTTTTTCGTGTTCCAAGACCTATCGTAGTTTAATGTGATGATTTATGACTTGCGTGCGTAGTCTATGTCGATTTCCGGATAGCTTATGCGTAAAAATTCAAAGAAAATGTGATTTATTTTACTTGAAATGAGGTTTGAGTTGACCGCGGTCAACGTTTTTCGTAAACAACCTTGGATCGATATTTTGAAGATTCTGGTAGGTTCGTGTGATGTTTTTAGACTTGTACGTATGTTTGGTTGGGGTCCCGAGTGACCCAAGGGCATTTCGGTGGATTATGTGAATGATTGGAAAATTTGGTTTTAAACTCGAAATCCCTGAGTTTTGATGATCGATTCTTGATATTTGATATTGTTTTGATGATTTGAGTGAGCGAGCAAGTTTATATAATGTTATTAACTTTGTGTGCATGTTCGAATTGGATCCCGAGGGGCTCAGGTGGGTTCCGGGTGAGTTTTGGAGTGTTTTGGTATAGCTGAGTATCAGTTGTTGTTGGTATAGCCTGCAGATCTCGCATTTGCGAGGTCTAGATTGCAGTTGCGAGCATCACTTTTGCGGTCAAGGAATCGCATTTGCGAAAGGGGATGGGATTGGGGCACTTTGTATTTGTGAAGAAGGAGATGCATTTGCGAAGGTTGGGTAATTGCAATTATGGTTGGTGTGTCACATTTGCGACTCCGGACAGCTTGGGGAAGCTTCGCCAAAGCGAATCTTGGTTCCCATTTGCGGAGGGAGGGACCTTCGCATTTCGTTTTCACATTTGCAACATTTCTTGGGCTCAGGAACTGATCGTAATTGAAATCACTAGTTCAAATTTACGAACATCGCAATTGCAAACAAGAGTTCGCAATTGCGATACCTGCAGCTGGGTAAAAGTTGAGAAAACAGGAATTAGCTCATTTCACACTATTTTCAACCCTAAACTCTCTAGAGGTGATTTTTGAAGAGGAATTTCTTCCCAAATTCATCGGTAATCAACTTTAACTAGTTTTCCATCAATTTCAATTACTTTTCCATAAATCTTAACATCAAATCTATGAATTTCAAGGTAGAAATTAGGGGTTTTGGGTAGAATTTAGGAATTTTGTAAAATTGAGATTTAGACCTCGAATTGAGCTCGGATTTCGAAACAAATCACGTATCCAAGATCGGGGGTGAATGGCTAATCGAGATTTGGTCCGAATCTCAGATTTTGACCAAGCGAGCCCGGAGTTGACTTTTGTTGACCTTTTTAATTTAGCTAAAGATTGAATATTTTTCATTCGTGGGTAGTTTCTAAAGCTTGTTTTTGATTGTTTGAATGATAGTTGGCTAGATTTGGTTGGTTTAGAGGCTTGTTCTAAAGTAAAAGTCGTGGTTGGCTGTTGATTTGATTTCAGAAGGAGGTAAGTATCGTGTTTAACTTTGACTCGAGGAAATTATGATTTGTTTGGTCTATTTTCTACGTGAATTATGTGTGGGATGACGTATATGCAAGGTGACGAGTGTATATGTGTTGTCACGGGTTAAGGCATACAAGGTGGGCTATTTATCTTTATGTCATCATTTATTCCATGTTGTATCTCGTTACATGCTATGATTGCTACATATCATTACTTGTTATTTATGCCTTACTTGTTACCTGTCATTTATTCGTTACTTGTTTCTATTTATTCATTCTTCGATCAATATCTGCTTACTTGCTATATGCTCCCACCTGTATTAATTGGACATCTTCATTGTTTCATGCCTTTACTTGCCTTTAATGCATTTACGTTACTTGTTGAACTTTATCATGTTATATCCAATTATATGAGCCCTTGGCTATTCTTGCGTTAATGATTTGTCGAGGTTTGTGAATATGAGATGTTGGTTGTTACCTATTTGTACTCATAGTTCCTTGGTGTTTTATACGCTTTAGTACCTTTTATGCTGGAATTTCAGAATTGGTTGTGCTGAGTTGTCAATGAAATGAATTGTTAATAGGAACAAATTACACGTCGCAACAGATATTGATATGATATTGGGATCGGGTTGCACACCGTAACAGATATTGAAATGATATTGGGATTGTGTTACGCGCCACATGGGGAAATGATGTGTTGTAACTGTTTATAACGGTGGTGTTCTATTTTTATGTACTATGATACGAGGTTATGAGATGATGTTATTCTGGATCCCTCTGTTAGTTGACCTTCCGATCCCGTTCTTATGAGATTATTCATTTTCTCTATATTTTCGTTGTGTTCTATTTATTATTCGTATAGGTTTATAGTGAGTGTCTTGTCATAGCCTCGTCACCACTTCTTCGAGGTTAGCCTCGATATTTACAGAGTACATGGGGTCGCTCATACTCATACTACTCTTCTGCACTTTTTGTGCAAATCCCGATGTTGGTCCTAGCGGCGCATAGGGAAGATTGCTCGGATCAGATCTGTCTAGGAAACTTGAAGTAGAGCTGCACAGTGTTCGCAGTCCCTGAAGTCCCCTTCCTATCTTGTTTTACTGTTTATCTTGTTTCGAACAGTTGTTTTTCATTTCAGACTATATTTGTACCATTTTAGTCTCTCATGTACTTGTGACTCTGAATTTCTGGGATTAGCATAGACAACGTTACTTATGGACTTATTATATATATTCAGAGTATTTTAATATTTGATTCTTAATATCTTGCTTTTAAATTGATAAGCTGATTAATTCTTTCGCTAATATTGGCTTTCCTAGCAAGCAGATGTTAGGCACCATCACGACCCCATGGCTGGGATTTTGGGTCGTGAGAATACCGGTATTGCGTGCAACCCGATCACACATATACATATTATAATACTACAACCAGCTACGGCATATCTCACATAACGTAAAAGGAAACAAATAAAGTCTCTAAGGCAGTTCAATATACATAGTAGAGGGTAATGGAAGCAAATAAGGCAATTAAACAAATAAAGACACAAGACAAGTAAAAGTGGCTAATTAAAGATATATAAAAGCATAAAGCATGTAATGGCCCAATAAATGAAGGCATGGATACATGAAAGCATATAGCAATTTGAGGCATGTAACGAATGAAAGGATAAATTTAACAAGTAAAGGCAAGTAGCAATTAAAGCACAAAAGGAGTAATAACATAGAAAAAAAGAAAGCATGGTATAAATGAAAATATGCAATTAAGTAGCCCGCCATGCTTGCTTAACTCATGACAACGCATATACACTCGTCACCTTGTATGAACATCGTCCCCACACATAAATTAAGTAGCAAATAGACTAATCTATTCCTAATTCCCGCAAGTCAAGGTTAACCACGATACTTACTTTTTTTCGGAAACAAGTCAATAATTAATCATGACTTTTCCTTTAGAACAAGCCTCTACAACAACCGAATCTAGCCAAATATCATTCAAATAATTCAAAACAAGTTTTAGGAACTACCACGAATGAAAATGGTTCAATATTGATCATATTTGAAAAGGTCAACAAAAAGTCAATTCGGGCCCACATGGTCAAAATATGAAATTTGCACTAAATCCCGATTACTCATTCACCTCTGATCCCGGATATGTGATTTATTTTGAAATACGACTTCAATTCAAGGTCTAAATCTCAATTATTACAAAAATTTTAAATTCTACCCAAAACCCTTAATTTTTACTTTGAAATTCATAGGTTTGATGATTAAATTCATGGATAAGTACTTGAAATTAATTGAAAACTAGTTAAAGTTGCTACCCAAAATATTTGGAAAGAAAATCCTCTTCAAAATCTCCTCTAGAGAGTTTGGGGTTGAAAAGTGGTGGAAAATGAGCCAAGTCCGGATTTTTCCAACTTTAACCCAACTGCAGGTGTCGCAATTGTGAACTCTTGTTCGCAAAAGCGAACCACTATTCGCAAAAGTGAACAGCTTCATAGCCCCTTTGGTATCACATTTTCAATAAAGTAGTCGCATTTTTGAAGCGCCCTAAATCGCAAAAGCGAGACAGTCTTCGCAAATGTGAAGACTGCCCAGCCCAGCTT